TATATATATAAGTGAATACAGTTCAATTAGAAATATAAACATCTAAACTCTAAAGTGATGAGCTGAAAATTTTACAAATATCGGTACTAAATATCACTGGGGAGCTGGCATTTTCCACAGAACATATTAATCTGGACTTTTACTACCTGCGAAAAATTATGTAACCATCTATATCAATTCATTCTGAGTTCAATGAACTGGGAACATACATCACACTGTGGCTTAATGCAATCCTTCATGTCTGACTGAAAACTATACTAGAGCCTAGTCTGCTGACTCAGGAGCATGTCTTCCAAAACATCACTATTCAATGGTCTTCTAAAGAATGGTGTATTGTACTGTAGGAAATATTATAGGTTATGGTGACTTGTAGTATTTCTCCTAGCAATAAATAATGCTTCATTTCAGCAGTTTATCACAGCAGTGTTGACGTATGATATTCTGGGAAAACATAAAACTTTGCCTGCAAATATTCAGAAACTTGGCTTCATCAGCAGGGCTCCCAATACCAATACATGGGCTGTGATCTAGTCTTGGAAGAAGAACCTATTGCAGAGGGGCCATTTTTTTTCTCTTACCAATATGAAGCCCTTCATGCGTAGTATTAGTGCATACTTATCTGCCGTGGAGAAGGTCCATTGAAGACTACTGAGAGATCAGGAAAGGACAGATGCCAAGTCTCACAGTAGAAAGCTACTACTGATTCTTATAAAGGTGGTACAGTATTGCTTGTTTGCATAACATGCTTGCTCATAGTTAACTGAACTATGAATTTCTCAGTTAACACAGTACTTTGGATTTGCATAATACATTAAGTATAAACTAACTTCACAGGCTGGGTTCATATAACACATTAAGGCAATGATGATGATTAGTATTTTGTATGCTATCAAATATATTTTGGGCAGTAAAGGGCAGAATCCTCTTCAGATTACTCTGGTTACATTTCTTTGATGGAGTAAAGCAAAAATTGCAGAATGTTATCAGTTCAAAGGAGCTATAGAAATGAGTCTCTAATGAAAGTAATGATATGGCTGCTTTTTGTATACAGGGATAATAGAAACAGGAATGACATTTCTGTTTTAGCTACTGATTGCCTCTATAATGTTAATGCCAGTGCTCCTTGCTGCATTCTTTTGAAGCTTTTATAGCTGCAATTCTATACACACTTAAATGAACTCAATGCTCCATGGATATCTAAGTATAGAACTGCACCATTAACATACAGCTTGATTCTCTGTAGCGATACCTGCATTCCCTTTTGGCTGGCTTCGTAATAGCATAGTAGCTATTGAAAAGAAGTAGCATGCCACCTGCCCAGTGGCTTTCCAACTCATATTGCTTTATGTTATTTCAGAACTCGAATTATGTGGGAGTAAGTACTGTATGTAGGAGTAACATTGAAAAGGAGAGGTATGAATTACTGAATATGTAGATTTCAGAACAGAATCATGATGGGCATCATTTCTCATATCTTTTGAACTACTGCCTGTCCCCTTAATAATTTTGTATTTAAACAGAAGCAAAAGGTAAAGCATAGTGTGAGCAATAGTGAGTCTCAGAACCTACAAACATCACGCTTCAAATTATTGGGAAAATAGCTGGTTGCAAAAATGTGCCATGCTATCATTTTTCATTATCATAGCTAACAGAAATTTTGAATTGAAAAAAAAAAAAAAAGGAATGGTATTGTCAAAGCAGGAAGCCTGCCAGTAATAAACTACTACAAAGTATGGAAACATCTTCAAAGACCAAGTGAGTTTTGCATGAAGCACTTCTTCAAAGCTGATTGATTGACTGGGACTGATTTATCCAGGTTTGAGCCCACCCAACTCCTTAATGAATCTGGGCAGCTTACAAATAAAAAGGGGAAAAAATCAAATTATTTAGATAGATAGATAGATAGATAGATAGATAGATAGATAGATAGATAGATAGATAGATATCATGGCTCACTGGAAGAACAATACTCTCAAATGTGTGTGTGTGTGTGTGTGTAAGATTTTTTTATCCTACCTTATTGTTTTTATAAATAGTGGCAAACATACCTAATATTCCTTCCTCCTCCTATTTTCCCCACAACAACCCTGTGAGGTAAGTTGGGCTGAGAGAGAGTGGCCCAAAGTCACCCAGCTGGGTTTCATGCCTAGAACTCACCGTCTCCTGGTTTCAGCTCTATGAACACCCTCTCCCGAGGCTTGGGAGAACAACCAGGTTTTTAGTAATTCCATAAAAGTGAAAGCTGCATGAATCTCTGGGAGAGATATGATTCCAGAGGGCAGGTGCTGCAACAAAGTAGATATGCTTCCAGGGTCCTATAAGATGACATTGTTTAAATAATGGGACCTGGAGTGCACCCATCCTGCTTGATTGTGCTGGATGGAGGGGAAGAATTGGAGATAAGTAGTCCCTCAGATAGCTAGCCCTCATGCCATGGAGGGCTTTAAAGGTGATAACCAGTACCTTGAATTGCATCCAAAAACCAACTCAAGCAGGAGCCATGGCTTCAGGAGGACCTCCAAATCATGCACCAGCTCTGAATGGGGGAGTGTAACCCCATCCATAATGAAAGGTGGAAAAATCCTCAGATCTGGATTCTGGTGGACCCAAACCCCACAGCCACTCAGTCTTGTGAGGGTTAAGTTAAATCTCTTCTTCCTCATCCTGACCCCTGCAACCTCCACACACTGGGAAAGAACCAAGGCAGCATCATTTGATTGGCCAAATGTACAACTTTGGGACAGATAGATATATAACTAAGTTTATTTGCATACTGATGACACTTAACCCTGTGCCAATGGATGACCTCCCACAGCAGTTTCATCTAGAAGTTAAACAAATGCTCCTTCCCTTTGCTTTTTTTTTGCATACCCTCACAGCTTCTCCAACATCACAGCTTCTCCAAGTTTTGGAAAAGGGCAGGGTAAATAACAGGTAGGAGAGAATGAAACACTTCAAGGCAATGGAGTGTACTTCATCAAAACACATTTCATTGCCTCTTCTCTTTGCTAATGAGAATGTTTTCTCTATCACACAAATCTTTTCACTGAGGTAGTCCCAAGTCTCCTCAGGAAGCCTAAAAGCAGATGGCCAGACAAATGTATACAGAAAGTACTAAAAACATGGAGAGGGTGGGTGCTAACAATTCATTTTCTGTTTGTTTTATGTAATGTCAGGGGATATTTTTCTTGCTCTAGGAGCACAGAGTGAAAACTGTACCACGTGGAAGTTTTCCAAAGACTCCATATGTTAGGTGATTCTGCAAGTAAAAAGAGTTAGTAATTTGTAATGGATTTCTGAAAGACTAACTCACTCAAATGTACAATAAAATGGCCCATATTTTTACTGATCTGGACATTCATACATCTAAGTATTTTGCCTTCTGTGGAGAAAAAAACACAATTTTCTTTCATTTGTTAATGGGATCAAAAGCATCCTGGAAGGCCAATTTTGGTAAGAAAAAATGGACTCCAGGAAAGAGACAAGTATCTTCCTTCAATCCACATTGCAATTTATCGCTCTTGCTTTGAATGAAAAACAAACTCAGAGGGAAAATTTTATGTCATATGTCACTTATGGAACGATACAGATGACTATATGTAAAATAGGTTGGGAATCAATTCATTCTTGAATGAAATAATGACTTTTCTAAATGATCCTTAAATAGAGTGGGAGGAACTCTGACCCAAATTTGCTTTACTGTAATGGCTATAAAATGATTACATGTTTTCCCATCACATTTTCAAATTTATATCACATTAGTCTCCTACAATTAAAATATCGTGGAGCCTTCCCTAACTTAACCAAAAATAACCCCGCAAATCTCAACTCTTCCCATGATTATCACCCCATTACTGCCCCGTCTGCTGCATCCTTGTGATCTGACTCAAGAAAATCAATATATTGTGATTTCGTCTTTTGATTCATCTGTTTTGGCTTTGTTGTTTATATGGATTACATTTATAACAGTCTATTCTTTAGATGACATTACTCTTGGTACTGGTATTAGAATAGGAGAAACAATAATGTAATAGTTATAAAAGCCATTACCTTCAATGAAGACTTTGTCCGAGGTTCTGGTTTCTGTCTTGTAGGTGTACTTTTAATAAGCAGAGATTGATCTGTACGAGAATCATAATTCCCATGTTCTGAATCATCTGTATATGTGTCTTTCTCTCTTCCTATGTCTAAGTGGGGAAAAGTACCAGAAACAGATGGACTCATATGGTATTACTATGGAGACATTATAGCAAAGATACAAGCATGGCTCCCTTCATTATCTGCCTTTGCCACATATTCAGTATCCTACATTTTTGGGACAAAGGCAATATTTATTTTAAGCAAAATTGCTCTTGCTTAATTCTGAAATATGTTTTATGATACCAATGTGCCATAAACTGGTTGTCCTTTAGGTGTTGAACATATCCAATAATTAAAATGGACAAATCTCAACTTTTTCCAGCATCAAGGTTTTGGTGCTTCAGCATTGGAAGTATCTGATTAGAGAACAGTCCTTTCTGTACACAAATGGAGGGTCAATTATTAAGGGTGTTATTCAGGATGTTATGTCAGCAAAAATCAAAACAAATCCTCTACTAATTACAGTAGAAAAATAAATCTGCTATCAGGGTTAGTGAAATAGTTGAGTATTCATTGTGAAATGGCTTAAAATTCACAGTGATTTGTTTTATAAGTCAAGAGGAAGCTATGGTGGCTTACACTTTAAGTACATTTTTATTGAATTTTTGTTATAGATTTTGCTATGGAGTTTAACTTCAAATAAGTATGCTCTATGATCACAGCCTTTGCATTTCTTAGGAAGGACTACTTTATGATTGTCAAGTTTCAGCTGTATGGCTTTGTAGAAGGTCAAGAGTAATGGGGGGAGAGGTGTCTGTGGGTGGGTATTTTTCAGTTTGCACCTTTCCTTGTAAGTTTTGAATTGATGTAAAGATATTATTGCAACTCAAATGGACATAAAATAAATTTTATCATTGCTTTCAGATCTATTCTAGTTCAGATTCTCAAAGGCATGGCTGGGAGGTTGAATGGCACACAGACAACCAGCTTAGATAACTACTTAAAAAGTCTTTGAGGTGACTGTCTGCTGCCAAAAATGTCATGTTGGCAGGAGGTTTCACCAAGGCATTCTGAAGGGATTACATACAGCGTATGGACTATAGGGAGCCACTGAATTCAATATATTCAAATCTTTAATATGAACCTGGTGCCCTGGCTGCAGGATGTGTTCTGCTTTTCATCCTTGTTTTCTGTGTATACCACTGTGGATTTTATATGACAGACAAGTCTGGAGAGCGGCCTTATTGTTCTTTATGTTCTAATGCTTTATGTAAATGTCATAGTGCTATACACATGATGCTCCGAACAGGTCCTTCTACTAATGCTTCTTTCCCATGGTTACATTCTTCGGATAAGCATCAGTCTTAGTGTTTATATAAATAGATTGCACTTACAGATTAGGTCACACCACTGCAATATATAT